GTAAATGTTGTGTTCAAAATTTGAATTTTTCAAAATACAAATTGGCAAGAAATTGTGTTTTGCCAATTTCTCAAACTTACAATAGAGACGTGGCTTTTTTTAGAACAGAAATTTGATCTCGAGGTGTCACTGAGTTGAACCTCGAAGATTTCAAGACGATACAACCAACATTGAATGATCTAGTACTTCAAAATGTACATCCAGCCGTTCCAATTTTGTGTCGTTAGCTCAAATAAATATATTAGAGTAAATTGACCTTTTATTCTATAGGTTTTAATATTTTATTCTTATATACATATCGATTTACATTAATGAATTGTGAGCTACACGCCGACTAAAATAAATGCGAAAAAAAAGTTCAAAATAATTATTACTTAAAACATTAAACAGACGTAGGTCGTAGGTAAACCTTAAGGAAACGTCTGGTTATACGAATAATCACATATTGCGTTTTTAAACTTTTTGCTTCTCCGATTACGGGCGAAATAATGGTCGTACGTACTTAAACCATAGAGCCTTTTTGAATCCTGGTACACCAAAAGACCAGAATCTCGAGTTTTGTAGTGATCTAACGAAAACCCAAAATCCAAAATACACTTGACTATGTAATTTTCTAAGTACAAAAAGCACTAAAAAAATCATAACTCCCGAACCAACAGTCGGATAACCTCGACCTCGGTACCCATCGATACGGCGCAAAGTCCTCTATAACGTCCGACTAAAAAAACGGCTCGCCGCTCCCAAAATCTAAGTGTTCGTACTGAAAACGCCGAAAAACACATATTTTAAAATTTCGAAGCCCCAAAAGACGGAGAAAAACGGCTCCTATGGTTTCGATACATGACGCCGAATTTGATCACCGACCTCCAAACTATACAAATCTCGAGTTTCAAAAATGTCATATATAAACTAAACCTTTTCCAAAATACGCCTAGGTGGGGGATTCGAGGATTTTTTACTATCGTGTGCAGTATACAAATTACAAATTTAAACAGTTCACCTCAAATTTTCGTAAGTCATACATAAATTATGGCTATTAACCTGCTTGTGTATTCTGTAAATTTCATGTTGTACAACAGTGTATTATTTCTAGGTAAAATGTATCTACAAGGAATTAAAACCATTGCAAAAACCAAGTTAAACTTAATATGCCATTTACAAGTAACAACAATCACATTCAAACATTCATAACTCAAATCATGTAAGTTCTGTATATAGTATTAAAATTGCTATAATGTATTACTTATTGGTTATGATACATCTGAAACAACTTAACAGATACATTAAAACAGGGGTTAAAATGGGAAAAAAATCCAGAGGGGACTAATCTCCATATAGTTTTAAGCGTTTCATAAAAAATTGTATGTATAATGTCTAATGTATAAAATTCTAATTTGTTAAAGGGGACGCTTTTTAACCGCCGTCAGAGGTAGGGGGACTGAGTCCTCCTGTGTCCCCCTACTTTAACTCCTGCATTAAAACGATGTTACAAAGTTGAAGTGAGATGTGGATTTAACACCTGAGATTTTGTAATTGTTTAGGGCGGTATTCATAGTCGATGCTATATACCTACTTATGACTCAAATAAGATTCATAAACTAGACTTTGGCCTAAGAAAATAAATAGTATTACTTAAACTATAAGGATGGTTGAGGACTACTTTAAGCATTGCTTTTAGTTCTCTCACAAATTTTTTATTTTTTAAACTATCAAAATTAAATTAACTTAAGCAATACTTATTCTTAACCATTGATTTTAATATTATATAGTAATGGTAAATGGTGATCTGATAGAGTTACTAATATTCATAATATTAAAAAGTTTATATTATTATTTTTCTCCATAAGGCATAATAATAAATAATACAAGTATAGGTACGCTATATGTTCACAACTATAACACAAGGATGTTTGCTATATTGTAATGGAACAAACTATGTGTTGGGACTATGAATAATGTCGATTGGTTACTGTTTTACTACATTTATTTTTAATATGTTATTCAGCCATTAAATTATTACAATTTTCAAAATAATTTAATTAATATAGTTGTTTTTTTTTTCAATTTTAGTCAGGAAGTTACAGTAACTGGTGTATGCATGTACCTAAGCTATTTAAGTGATTATTCTGTTTGGAAAAACTTCTTCTGGAAAAACTGTTTCCACTAACGGTTCCACATGGTGGTTTATGAGTAATGAACAAAATGGGCATCTACCATCAACTTCTAGGTTCACCCTTGAAAAAATGTCATTAAGTTATACCACAACATAACATCTTGCTTTTTGCACAAATGCAGGATTGAAATATTAAAAAAATGAACAATACTATTATAATATACTATTGTAAACGCTGAATATAGCGTACATGTATCTATGACATATTCCAACAACACTGTGGTTAGAGCACAACTAAATAAATTGGGTACCATTAGTAGGGATTTTAATTCTACCATATTAATATTAGAACTTTAATAATAATTAATAACATTAAAACGTTCCATCTAGCTATAGTCAAGGACAAGGTTATATTATATATATTAGAGATGTCTCGTTCACAACAATCCACTTCAGCTATTTTTGACACTTGATGTCCAAAAACTTACTACTTTATAAAACTAAATTACAAATTACAAAATCTAATGAATATATGTTACAAATAAAACATTGAAAAAAACAATTTTGTATTTTTTGAAGTAAATATTTTTACTATAATTGAACACTTCTTTAGGAAATTGAAATTTTTCTTATTAATAGGTACAATAAAATAAAATAAGAAACGGTTTAAATGTAATTTAAGAAACAAATTTACATTTTCAATGTGCTAAAATACAATTTCCCTGGTTGGTTGATTGAATTTATGTTTAAGTATTTACCCAACTAAAAAATTAAATATATTACATCACTGTCCAGCCAGTTGTCCGTATTACTCTATTGATAAATATCTCACATTTGATTACTAAACATGCTTTAAAATAAATCAAAAATTAAACTAAATAGATATCTGAGACTAATATTAATGATTATTACTTTTTACTTAACTCCATATAAGATGTAGATAATTTTTATTTACTTAAAGTAAAATTTGATGTATAAAAACCAAAAAATATAAATAGTGACTTCTTGTATACTGGATATTTACATTCTTATAATGAATTATTTGAAATTCCATATCATCGTTCAATAATCGTTAATAAAAACCCGCTTACAATGACATAAGATATACCCGGTATAATATATTAGCGGTAGATGTAGATCGCAGCCCCGTGCTGTTTGTAACGTAAGTGTATGATTTAACTCTAAAATATCAAAGTTATACCAAGTTTATTTTGATATAATACAGTGGATTAATATAAGCTTGTACCTGTTCTGCCCGAATAACCAATAGCAACCAATAATAAATAAATATTAATTTCTACTGTAGACTGTAACCAATGGCAACTATTAATAAATAAAAATAAAATTTCCAATTTCCATCGTGAACCTCCAATGTTTGAGCACCTATTTAATATGCGAATTTCGGCAAATCCTTTCTTATTGCACGGTAAAAATATGAGAAGAACCTCTATTTTAAATTTCAAGTTCGTACGTTGCGTAGTTTTTGAGTTACAGTGATCAGTGACTATTGACTAAGTGGTACTTGGATTTTATATATTGTAGGTATATATTATTAAGTAGAAACGGTGGCATTAACAGCGGTGCGATGGAGGAAATTGTTTTGACTACGCGACTGGTCACGCTCTTACGCACGCTTTGTATGACTGTATAAGTATTAATATTATGTGGATGACGCAAAGAAGATAATTTTTGTTTCAATAACGGTGATCAGTGATAGTTCTTTATCATTAATTATTATACATCAAGACTTTATGGGGGCCCCCTAAAAATATTCCAACAGGCAACAATGGGGCCTGGGGCAAAATGGTCCCGTTGCTCCCCTTCTGAACGGCCGTGGTTATTACTCAATTGTGTATTTCTATAGCTGTCGTTATGTCATTTCTATGTAAAGGAGTACAAAATACAAATAGACACATTTCACATAATAATATTTTATCAATAGTTAATCAAGAATAATCAAAATTATTATGAGTTCTGTGTTACAAAGATTCACCAGTGGTGTCATATACAAACTATTTTTGAGAATTAAAGTTGTAAATGTTTGTAAGTTTAGTTGGGTAGCTTCAATATTTTTTGTTTCCGATTTTTTTTTTTATTCTTATCACTCCGGGAGAACTGGGGTATCACCACTACGGGAGAACCATAGATAATAGTATCATAGAACAATATAGAAGCGAAACTTGATCAGCTGATTGGGGTTTTGTTTCCCTATGATCAGGGGTACGACACTCCGTGAATTGGTCGGATCGGGAGATTGTGGCCTTGAAAATGGTCTCTAAAGGGGCGTGGCATACGTTACAGTAAACAGTGGAAACAATTTTTCTATGCTGGAAACAACCCGACCCGCGCAGAATACCCTGCCTATTAATCGGAGACGGTTTTTCAATACGGGTATAACATCATGTTGGTAAACGGAAACAGTTTGAATGTTCGGACTTCAGATCATAGGTAAACACTTCACCCATCAGCTGATCGAGTGTCGCTTCTATATTGTTCTATGCTATGATCTAAGTCCTCCGAAAAACATGAAAATGTTTACACGTACCAACATGACGTTAGACTCGATTCGACCAATTCATGGAGTTTCGTACTTCTATCTTAACCCGTCGTGGTCCGTGTTCTAAATAGACTGATGATTAGTCTGCGGCTGGGTTTTCCTTATCACTGGTAAATTAAAAATAGACATATTCCGATCGTATTATTTGAACGTAAACAACGTCACCGTCATTTACATCGCATTTCGTCAACAGACTCTTAACCGTAAACTCTAACTAAAAATAACCGATTACGATATTGGAATAACCGAGCCGTTATTTGGAGCGCATGCGCAAAGACATATTTTGGTAAATACCGTTAACGGATTTAAACGTTATTTTTAACCGGCGTTATGCAAAAACTCCCTAATAATATCCAACACGAAGGTTTTAATTATAAAATTAATGGCGGAGAAAAAAAAGGCATTCGGTAAGTTTATTATACCATATAAATCACCGTAGTACCGAATACTGAGAAATGAACACACACAGGACTTGACAAATTTTATAAATTACAGCTTATATAATATTATTATATTAAAGATAAAGTTATTGGCATGACAAAATATATATATTTTGATAATATAAATATATATATTTTGTCATGGTTATTGGTACCTTTCTTATCCATTATAATGATTCGCCTAATAAATAACTGTATTGTCGCTGTACCTAGCTATTATATTATATCTGATCGATATGGCAGACAGACCGGCACCGTGTTCTGAATCGTTTTTATCGTAGGTATACAATAATTTATCATTGAATCTAAAATGAACGTTATTTGTGGGAACATAACAATTGTACGTGTGTAATAAGTATGTTATACATTTTGTAATAATAAAATAAAATGTACCTACCTATAATCTTTAAGTCAGTACACCACTGATTGTCTATATGTTATTTACTGGGTTGTAGTAGGTATTTTATTTGTATTGAAAATAATTTTTCTTCGAAGTGTTAGGTATATAAGTGTTATAAATTATTATTGCTATAAAATTATTTATATTAAATTTTTAGTCACTTATACTTATTAAAATGAAATTGATTTGTAATTTGTTTTTGAGCTTAAGAAACATTTGGTGTATATGGTTTGGATTTTAAGGTACATGGTATGCTGTCAGAAATATTGTAAAGGTTCGGCAAAACGATTAGTTGATGGTACTATAGTGAATAATGCAACTCACTCACATTATCCAAATAATTTGGAAAACGAACTCATGGATTTAAAAAAAAAATTTAGATTAATTCTGATTCAAAGAGCAGTAAATGAAACTACAAGTCTCCGTGATATTTATGATGAAGAATCTATAAGGTATTAGCTATCAACATAATATTATGATAATAATTATGGTTTAATTTTAACTATATGGAAGTGAAAAATAAATAAATGTATGACTACAAATTAATAATTAATAATTATGTTGATTTTTCATAATAGACATATGAGAGCTGCAGTTCAATATTGTTGGCCTGTAGCTGAGATGTCGATGCGCCACGCTCGTAGGAAAAATGTGCCAGTTTTGCCTCCTACGATGCAAGCACTTGCAGAAATGTTAGAGTCTAACGTAGATCGATATATTTGTTGTGGTCATTCCTTTTATCAAGACCATACAATTGATGATGATGGAAAGACATCAATTATATTTGGATGTTTAGACCTGATTCAGGAAGTTGTACGACAGGGTGGTTCTGAGCTCCATGCAGATGCCACTTTCAAAATAGTACCTTCGGCACCTAAGTGTCGTCAACTATTTGTTATGCACTTTATTATTCAAAACCATGTACGTTTAAAAGTTTGACTTTATATTTTGATAGTGATTAATATTTTTAATATGTTTTAGAGTATTCCAGTTATATATGTACTTATGGAGTCAAAAACTGAACTAGCTTATACTCTTGTTCTGAGGAAATGTAAGGCCATGTTTCCGGCTATTCAACCACAATTTATCATGACCGATTATGAAATCGCCTTAAAAAACGCATTCAGCATTATTTATCCTGAGAGTGTTCAACATGCTTGTTGGTTTCACTATGTACAGGTATATAGTATTTACTCAAATAAAATATTACCTTATTTATTGTGATGACTACTTTCTAGTGCCTTGTCAAGAATCTAAAAAGTAATGGGTTTTCAAATTACGTTAAAAATAACCAAGAAGCCCAGATTTGTATCAAAATGACGTCTGCATTAGCATTGTTGCCTCCTAATTTAATTGATGAAGGTTACCAGTCAATTCGTAGGTATGCAAGGGATAATAATGTAAATCTCGTGTCCTTTTTCACATATTTTTCCAAGTGAGTATAACATTTGTCTATATAGTTTTATAACTTAAAAAAATTAAATATGTATATATTTGTAGTTATTGGTTACGTACAAGGAAACCAGAAGTTTTTTCAGTGTACGGTGTTCCTCGAAGAACAAATAATAATGTGGAGTCTTTTCACAGTGGACTGAAAGAAAAATTCCAAAGTCTTCACCCAAATTTATGGACATTTTTAGGTGAGTTAAACCACTGAAATTATGCATGACATGTATTATGTATAACTCTTATTATCAGCATAATATTCAATATAGTCTGTCTTATTGAGTTTTTTGTAGGAAAAAAATCCAATTCATATACTTAAAAAAAAAATAAAAAACTCATTTTGAATTAAATTTTTGATTTAGATCACTTGAAACGCCTAAGTTTGAAAAACCATGTAATTGTTAAACAGTTGGCAAGAGGTGAACGAGTATCACGTCTAGTAAAAATAAAGTACTTATTAAATTCTGTACGCATTCAAACAGCAACGACGCAGTTGGAGCTTGGAGTTATAAATGTCAAAGAATTTTTACTCCAATCTTCACATTGTGCTGAACGTTACTTAAGAGAAGAAATCAATTGGCACATTAACATTGAACAAGGTAACAATAACATAAATATATTGAAAACAAATTATTAGCTTTATTATTTGTGAATTGTAATAATTTGATTAATGCCATAAGTTTTTTACAACATTTTTGGTTATTGTTTATTATATTCTCAATAAGTAGCAAGTCCAAGATATAAAACAATTTGCACTTGATATTTTTTCACTTGATAATGTTAATAGATCAAAACGAACCTCAAAACATAATCCAGGACGTTGAGAACGAGAACAATAGTGATTCTGATGGTGAAGTTTCTGTTATTTTAAGAGAGGGTCGACAATTGTTTGATGTCAGTGGTTCTGATGAATCCATTCTGCCCGATGGTAATATTTTATTATGTTTTGTCATTAATGGTTGTATCCTAACCTACTCCAAACTATAATTTTGGTATTAATTAATTTACTTACCTACCTATCAATTAACCAAATTCATGTAATATATACTATAATGTTGGCATGTTCTAGATGAAGTAGTAATTATGGAAGAAAATATTCCAGAAGTACATATAGAAATAGGAAAAATAAATAAGTGTATAGTGATATAATAATATAATATACTTATAATATACTCAATTATCTATAGTAATTTCTTAAACTATTTGATTATACTCTTTTAGATTCTGAGTGAAACGATGAATGTATTGATTTTACAATGATGTGTGTTTTTTTATTTATTTATTTTTTTGTCTGTGTACATGATAAGTAGTCGAAATAATTCTTCGATTTTCAACTTCAGTATCTTGTTCGATTGGAAAGTGACCTACAGTACAGCAGAGCGACATCCGCTGGCCCACCTTTTTTTATGATATAACCTATATTATTTATAAAATAAAAGTTCATACAGTTGATTTTGGTTGCATAAGCAGTACCATTGATTATAAATACTAAATTATTGTAATTGGGTATATTTAATATGCTATATTACAACTTATTGCGATCAATCAGGGAGCAAATCATAACATTTAATAGATTTACTTATCAAAATTATTTTTTTTAGAAGATAACGAGGAAGATTACTTCCCCCTAGAAGATAGGGATCCAGACATAGTTGCTATGTTGGAACTTGATGCCAGGCATCGCCAATTAGAAATTGAAGCTATTCCGTACGTTCAAGTTCCAGCTGTTCTCCCTTCTTTGGAGAATCAAGACCAAATGTGCATTGTTTGTATGGAAGCAGAAAAAACACACGCTCTAATACCATGCGGTCATAGAATATTATGCCAAGATTGTGTAGTTAATCTAGACCCTGTACGTTGTCCATTCTGTAATGAATACTTTACTGGCTCTATAAGAATTTGGTAACTAACTAACAAAAATTTTTTATGATTTTATGAAACTTTGTTTTCAAGTGTTTTTTTTATTTTACAAAAAGGTAATTGTTTTTATTTTTAATGTATGATAAATATTTTAATGTTCAAAATATTGTTTTTTCTTTTTGAAATAATATTTTACTGCTACATAAAAAGAGTCATAGTACTATTAATTAGTCTTTGAAGTATCTTTTTTTCGATAAAGTAGATGAAAAATGGAAGGCACAATATCTGGGGAAACTTATTAATTGATTTTATTCTTTAGTGTAGGTAGTAGGTACATTCAAATTTAAGAATGTGTATTAACCTATCTCGGTATTTTAGAATTAAGGAGGCTAATGATTTACAAAACTAGATAATTACATGCCTATGAATGTAGTTATACTGTCCATGATATAAATAAATAATGTCACAAGATAATAATGAAATAAATGTCTAGTTATCATCAAATATCTATAAGGAAAAAAAGGAAAATAAGATTCCAATCACAGCTATTATTAAAAAAAAAAGCAACGTAGAAGCCTACTCTGTCATCTATTAAGACGAAAGAGTATTTATTACGTAAGAGTAATTAATATTATACAATATTATATATAAATTTAACTTCAAACTTTGATCACAGTTATACTTAATTTATTACATATATTTAGTTTTAAATTGTACCTATTAGGTAGGACAAGTTGGACCACAATTTTTAGGAAACATACTTTTTACATAAATTATTATTACCTACTACTTATAATATGTAAATTTTTTAATAATTACTTTTATTCTATAAACAAAATGTTGACTAAATTAAGATAGACCCATAAATAAAATATAAACCTAACTACTTGGTAATAAAAGTAATTTCTATAAAATAACGCGTTACAGTTTCGAATTATTAAGTACCTACCTATTGCGAATTGAAAATAAAATATATGTATAAAGCTGGTATTATTATGTTCACCAATCTAATATTTTTTTTTTTTTTTAAATTTTTTATTGTAAATATAAATAAGATGTTTGACATATTATTAAAATGTTTACAATAAAGTATCTACCTCCTTTAAGCATAATGCTTGTGTTGGTGGTAGAGAGTTACATTGCATAAATATAGACAAAATTATTTACAAAAAAAAACTAATTCAAATTACAAATAATAAGATACAGAAACATAATAAATTTCATAATTAATATTCAAAGTTTCATATCTTATTCCACACATAATTATATAAGATTGAAAATGTATTTATTTATTTTTATACAACTATCAGTGAAAATAACCATGAGTTAAGTTCTTTTTTTATGCACGTAATTTTAAGATTCCCAATTGAGTAGTAGATGAGTTTTTTTATGTGTAAAGGCATTGCATTATAATAATTAGGACCTAAATAATCAATGAAATGTTGACCAAAAGTTTTTTTACAATAAAATACATTGACATCAAAGGCCATCAATTCGCGTTTTTTTCTCATATTTTCCACAACAAAAAAATGTTCATAATTTTTTATTATGTACATAATAGATACCTTTTTATATACACTCTCGACTGGTAGCACAGTCAACACCTTAAAATTTTCACCAGTTGAACCTATTAAATTATTTCTACCTAAACAAATTCTGATAATTTTTCTTTGAAATAAAATTAGTGGTCTAACCGCGTTTTCATTCAAACCTCCCCATACCAATAAACCATACTGAAATATTGCCTGGAATAATGATACATAAATTATACGCATCACGTTCGCAGGCAGGAAGTTCCTTAATTTAAAAAAGCTAAATGATTAAAGTACGCATGCGCATAACAGTAGTCTTTACATGCAGAATATAATCTAATGGTTTAGTGGATAATGTACAGAGTAACAGTGTGATTAATGGAAATCTGGGAACTTTGATTGAACCTAATTTTACGAATATTATTCTGAAGTAATTATTTTATGAAAAGTGAGCAGTTTATGTATTATATATATATTGTTGTTTAATGTTTATAAAACATATATATACATATTTGTTTTCACTGGATATGGACGATATGGTGCATGTTAGAATGCCAGTTTTTTGCAACCGTTTATCCTTAACAGAAACCTGTCTTACTATTGCATAATATACCAAAATATATGTTCAACAGACCTAATTTTAAATTGTTAGCTTAAATTATCTATGTTCTCACATTTCTTTTATGCAATACCTATTTTAATTATTAATTATTTTATGAATACCAGTCACTAGGTGTGAAATATTAATATTTACTTCGAAACTGAAAATATCCGTAAACAACTCAAAAAAAGTCAAAAATTTTCAAAACTTTATGGTGTATAAAAAATGCTAATTTAAACATTCAGTGAAATTTTCATGTATCTACAGTTATTTGTTTTTGAATTACAACAAAATAAGGAAATCGCTACATGAGAAATCGAGTGAATATCCAATGTTGTAAAAATTTGAATTTCAAACGCTCATAAAAATTTAATTTGACTTTCTTATAGACATTTTTTTTTGATAAAGGTAAATAAACTTATAAGGAATCTTGTATTACATTTTCAAATCTTAGATTTAAAAAGAAAAATTTTTACGAATTCTTAACTCAAAATAGTTTGCTAATTTTCGTGAATTTTTACTTTTGACCCCCCAAAGTACCAACTAGATTCACTTTCCTATCAGAAAAGATACTGTTGAAGAAAATCCAAGCACTTTTACCGTCCTAAAACGTGATGACAGACACAAAAATAAAAAAAAAATAAAAAAAAAATAAAATAAAAAACACATCATTGTAAAATCAATACATTCATCGTTTCACTCAGAATCTAAAATAATGCCGGTAACGCGAATGTAATTTAAACAAAAATATATATTGTAACGAGTAACGTAATTAATAATTATATTACTTTTGAAAAGCAATTTAACCAACACCATGTTAGTTACCAACACTAGTGCACCACTATTCATTAGCTAATTCAACTGTTTTAATTTAATCTTCGAAAACAGAATAATTTTCTGAGTATTTCGATAAATACAAATCGAATTTATAACGAATATTTTTAATTTTATGAGTTATAACTTATAACTTATAAGTTATAAGTAGGTATTTAAAGTTTTGATGAGTGGAGTAGCGAACCGACATTTTTCGGGGTACCTAACCGCGTAGGTAGTAGGTACCACTCCACTCTGCTCATCAAGACTAAAATTAATATATAGTATTAGGGTATTACTATTGAATAGTAATACTATATGTAGTATAATTTATAAGTTATAAGTTATAACTTATAATTGTTATTTGTTGATTGCTTAAGAGTTTAGCCATCGACATAACAGCATACGGCTTCATGCCATCATCGTCGCATATAAGAACAATGTAAATCGAAAAACGTACCTATGATACGTCGGCTACCATACGCGTAACTGTGAAATGATATATCATATATTATATAGGTACTTAGGTAATAAAAAATAAAAATAGAAAATTCAAAACAGTCATAGGTGCCTATTGCCTAAGGAACATTCGATTACGACGATGTAGTGCTTCATATCTTCGTACCACACACACAATAAATTGTTCATTTTTATCGTTGTTGTAATTTTGTTGAAATAATAGGTACCCATTACAAGAATTTATAAAAAAAAAAAAAAATTAACTAGGTACCTAGTTATTATTATTATTATTTTTATTTATTCCAAAATTCCAAAAGCTGTTCCTCAATTATCATATTATGGCTATATACCTATATATAGATTATTGGCTCATATAATATATTATTAAGGGGCCTGCTCGCGATTTTTCAAATTTTCCGCAATTCTATAAAATTTGAAAATTAAATTTTATATTTTAGTTGCCACCTCAATTCTAAGACTTTTCCACTAATCTACTACCCAATACCTATTTAGGGGGGTTGATAGGGTGTATTATATCGGTCAAAACACAGTTTACAGGAAAAACTCTCACACCTCGTAGATTGGTCCGATTTCCGTAATTTTTTTTTTGTTAGATAGAGGAATATTTTTTACAGGGCGCATTGGACTTCGATTTTTGATTACGTCGCTAAAAACAAAAAATAATACAAAAACTAAAAAGTTGTAAAAATTGATTAAATTCAAACTTGTAACATAAGACTTAGAAAAATAATGTTGAAAATCCAAGTCCAATGCGCCCTGTAAGAAGTCTTCCTCTATCTAACAAAAAAAAAATTACGGAAATCGGACCAATCTACGAGGCGTGAGAGTTTTTCCTGTAAGGCATGTTTTTGAGCAAAAAAACAGGTCGCGTACAGGCCCCTTAATTATTATTATTTAATTATGTAGATAGGTACCTGCAATTGAGCGATGAATGTAGGCATTGCCGTATTGGTTTTATATTGTGTTTTGTTTTTTTTTCTGCCTTCACCGTTTGGGATAGTAGAACTGCTTCGATTTTCTTCAAAAGTATCTTGTTCTATAAGAAAGTGAATCTAGTTGGTACAGTGGGGAGGTCAAAATTTAGAGCAGGGAAAAGCAAAATACAAATTAAGGAAAAACGGAAAAATCCGATTTCGACAAAATCGATTTTGGTGTTTGGTGTAACTCTACAACAAATAACCGTAGATACATAATATAATATAATATAATAATGACAAAAAATGATAATCTAATTAAACGAAATTCTTTTATTTTTGATAGTAGTAGTACCAATATATTTGTATGTTCTGAGCACCTTTTTTACAGGGAGATTTCTTCAATTCAAGGTGCCATTTCTACATGCTCCACCGTGTAACACATAATCTCAAAAAGTGTAATGTATGTTCTGAGCACCGTTTTTACAGGGAAATTTAATCAGTTTCAGTGGTCATTACTATACATGCTCCACCGCGTAACACAACACTTTAAAAAGTATGATTTTTAAACAGTTTATGTGATCGTGTAACACATCACAGAACTGTGTATAGGTATATGTATAGGTATAAGGTATCTATATAGTTTGTCACACAAAAAAAATATTTATGTAATTTTTATTTTTAGTTTAGTAGTAATAGTACCTAC